ACGAGAAAACCCAGCGTTACACTACTGCTAACTGTAGCTACCGTTATCTGCTGGCTCTGCCTGAACTGGGCGCTCCCAGTTGTCCTAAGCTCCTGTACTAGAGGTGTAAATAACATTACACCCCCAGAGCACCAAGCTTCCAGTCCATGCAGAGTCCGCTAGCTAGCAGCAGCAACCATTAGCAGTAGTTAGTGGAAAAAATTAACTGCTATCTGTCCATCAGGAACTGAAAGTTGAGGCAGGACCAGAGGACATCAGAAACCACAAAATATTTACTCCATAGAATATAATCCAGTTTCACCAAAATCAGTGATTAAAGTTATGTTTTTGTGCAATAAGTGCTGTGCCGGCTAGTTGCTGCCCCTCAGGAGGCTTCTGGGAAGAAGGTGGGAGGGGTGCCTCAATGAAAACCCACTACCCCACAACACATTTTCGTGGGCAGTGTGTACATGGGCAGTGTGTACATGGGCAGTGTGCGCGCAGGTAGACAGGCAGGTAGGTCAGCCCGAATGAAATGATTGGTCGTGCTTATTACAGTCCTACGACAGCCCTAGATTCCGGATTTTGTGTAGTGTGTCAGACCATTTACTGCTGATCGGGAAAATTATCGGGTAGAGATTTTCAACAGATACAACAAAAATGCTTCTGCAATAAATTGCCTATCATAGCTTTAAGTGAAATCATTCCAGAGTTTATTCACAGTGGGTAATGTGTCTGTTAACATTGTCTGGTGTTATTCAATTATTCCGACCAGTGTTTTCTTTTTTCACATGATTTAATATTATTCAGTGTTTGTTCTTCTTTAATTTCTTATTCGATGATTGGGGAGCAGTGACAGATGGTTATCACATAAGCCAAAACACCTTGCCTTGTACAGTAGTTGTTATCTGTACACAGTGCTAGCTGCTCTTCTGCTCATTCTCTGGAAATTTATCACTTACAAATCTGAAGTGAAGTATAATATATTGCACTGTATGCATGGTGAATTAACCCCTTAACAACCTGAATGCAGTTTGACATAACATCACTGTAAATCCCAAGCCCTATAAGCTACAACCATAGTGTAGTGGTGCATAGTTGTGTTTAAGCTGAGCTACTGATAACACATTATGCACAAGTGTGGTGCAAAGATGTGGCATTCTCTACTACTTTATAAGGCAATATTGCCACCCTGAGGACCACCATACCAGGAATTTTTTTGTATGAATTTAAATGGCTTTAGACTGACGGCTACCCATGTCATCAAATTTCTCAGCTGTTGATTTTACTCTATGGGGAAACTGCACTACCCTCTTGCAGCTACATGGCCACCGGGGTTGAAAATAACCAAGAGCAAAGTAGTTTGTCACACAGGGAGTTGAATCAGGGAGTAAATGTAAATGCTCCGTATTTGTATAGCGTCTTTCTAGTCTTTTCGAGAACTCAAATCACTTTTACACTACATCTGCATTCACCATTCACACACATTGTGCTCACACAGAAACTAACATTCACACACATTCATACACTGGTGGAACAGCCACCAGGGGCAATTCGATGTTCAGTATCTTGCCCAAGGACACTTTGACATGAACCGCCGACCTTCCGATTAACGGGCAACCCGGTCTACTGGAGTTATAAATGGAGTCATTTTTTTATATTCTATCAGTTGTTTTTTTTTATGATCATTGAATTTGGCTTTCACAAAAATTGTTATACATATCCTGACAATAGTTTTGTGATTGCTTCCACCAAACTATAATCTTAATAGTACTGCTTCTATTGCTTTGTCTTTCCCAGCATTGTATCCTTGATAGGAATAAATACGGTTGCACCTGCAACTGTTCACTCTCTCCGTTCGCTCTACTTTTTTACTGCAGCAGGCAGCTGTTATAAGTACAATTCCTAAAAGTACACTTTACACTACCTGCCCATCACCAAACTGCAGACCGACACAGTGTCTAGCTGGTGAACATAGTGGAGCATTTAGTAACTAAAATGCTAGATATTTCCCTCTGGAGTTGGTGGAGAGACAAAGGAGCTAAAGGAGAGTGAAGACTGGACTTCAGACATTCATCAGGTTGCCAGTAACTTAATTCCAAATGAATGCTATTGTTGCTGCACAATTGCTGGATTTGTAAATCAGCAACTGTGTTTGATCGCCTTAAATCAACTTACCAGGTCATGATATTTCAGTGTTGTGTTTGCAACTTGTTTTTTCTGCTTCCAAATGGCCAAAAAAACAAGTTATTGCAGGTGTAAAATTGAAATCACTGTGGTAGAAAATCATTTTAAAAATACTATTACAAGAAGGCAGTTTATTGGCATACTCAATATATATCTTCTCTCCACAATGGAATCTGTCACTATGTTCAGCCAATGAATAGGTTGTAAATTAAAATATGAAGCAGTCAAACTGTTGGGACCCCAAAAAGCTTGTGCTGGCCCTGGGCAAATGCATTATGCTAGTGGATTTGGCAGAGAATACAATTTAAATGGTTTGTTTTCCTCCTTCTCTCAGGCCTTTAGCTGCAATTTTGTTATCTGTGGGAATTCTGCTCTCACCAACAGTTGGCCTGATTCGGTATGCTATGTCAACAAGAACCTCAGTTGATTGAATCTGTAACAACACACACACAGAGAAGAGTGTTTACCAGCTTGATTCAGTGATACAGAATACAACTACCACTTCGGATTGAAATGTTTCTGCTTCTGATTTTTGGACCTTGTCTTCTTCCTTAGAGGGCAATAATCAAGTGCCATTGTATAAATACTGTTGATTATGCCAAGTTAACACTTCACAGATAAATGAGAAACTGCCTCCAACAAATTCCATTAACTGCAGCAAAACAAGCCAACTAAAGTATAAGTGCTGTTTATGTACCTTCCAGCAACTGGTCGTGTAATCGTTTTCAGTAAAAATCTCTTCTGTTAAGACTAGTTTATTAAGGAAAGAGATAATTTTCATAGATCTTGAAGGAGTCCTTGTGTCTAAAATCATACAGATGGGCCATCTTCCAGTGGATCCCTACAGGTCATCATTAAAGGCAACACTCAAAGAAACTAAAGCGGGAAAAAAGACATGTCCTCCACGTGAATTTCCATCTCTTGTATTATGGTGATTTTTTTAATTAATTTTTTTTTATGCAGAGCCTGGTTTCATAGCTTCTGAGTGATCATGTCTAAACTGCTTAAACACCCATCAATGATCATGTTGCACTGTGCAGACTGGAGCAGACAGTCAGTCGAACCAGGTGATGCAGTAAATGAGGGCAGCAAGCTCTATTAGGCAGCGGTGTTCACAGGTGAAGCTGAGGCAGAAATCTACTAATGGAATTACAGTCTTTACTTTGCAGTTTGCCGTTATAATTTGTACCCTGCCGATAATTGCTCCCAAGCAGGTGTTTGTTCATCTTATTTGGACTGGGAAACAAGTTAATAGGTTTCCACCTTCAGACCCAAAGCCCTTCCAGGCTGAGTCTTAAAACCTTTTTATATCAAATCACTGCTGGGTGTGTAGAAAATGTGTGCAGTCCACATTTCCTGCAAACTTGTTGTAAGCGCTCTGGCTGTCCTTGCCAAACTGCCTCGACGCTCTGCGTAAAGAGCATGCAAATGTGGAAGGGAGAGCAAATGAGGCTTATCTGAAGCACTCCAAATTGAAGGCCTCCATATTCACCAGTCTTTCAGCAACCTCTGGGTAAGGAAAAGGAAAGAGGGAGTCGAACTTTTAGAGGGTGTGATTACAGACAGACACTGACTAAGGTCCTCCAGCTCATGTCCATAATGAAATCATCTGTTGACTCTTATTTCAAATAGAATACCAAATTCCATTCTCTTTATATTTTATCCCTGCAGCCAGGGGCATAGCAACTTGTAACTTGTTTTTGAAAAGTGCTCTACAAATAAAGATTATTATTGTTATTATAAAACATATGGACCCTGTGCATAGGCATTCTCTATGGGCCCCTCCCCACATCCATGGCTATTCATTCTAGTATCTTTGTTTTGTTCAGCCTTATTTTCCCATCCTTCCTCTGTCTGATAAGTACTAACATACAAATTGCATAAACAAATAATGGCAAAAGGCTGTTTGAGTGCAGCGGTTGACATACACAAGGAGACACGTGTGTCCCAGTTAGAGAAGTACACTTTTAATACAATGTGACCCTTGGGAAGCTGGTTGCCATTATCCAGAGGCAAGAGTGCAGCCTAAAAATGGAATGGAACAAACTAAAAATGGAAAGAAAAAAATACATCAACCCTGTGTTACAAAATATTTCCAGACTTATTCTGCAACTGTTACTGAAGCAACGAGTGCAACTCATGATCCTTACACAAACAAAATAAAAAGCCACATCAGTGCAAGCTCACCTTGAATGGTTTCTGAGAATGATACAAAATAAATCACTTATTCTGCACGATTTTTGCTTTGCATTTTTTAGCTTCCCCTCATCAACACTACTTTTTGTAACTGAGCGTATTAAAAATGGATTTTCTCCTCCTTTCAAGTTGAGATTCTTTGTGCTTCCTCACCATACACACACACACACACACACACACACACACACACACACACACAACTTACAGCTTCTGATGAACTTCCTGCTTGAATGAGCGCAATAGGTTTGAAAGTGAAATGGGACTTCATATCAAAGCTAGAAAAAAACTGTGCTTTGATTTTTCACCCACTCTTTTTTTTGTGCAAGGGATGTCATTGACTGCTCTTTTTCAAAGCAGCTTTATTTCTTTATTTCATGCATTTTCATCAAGTGCTACTCTCAGCCATAGCCTTAAAACTATTTGAAATCATACTGTAGCCCATCACTCATCTGGATTCTGCACATACTGTAACAGCACATCATGTTCAAGAGATTGTAATCATTTCTGATTGTGTTCAAGCTTTCTTGCTACTACTGATTGATAAATCTCTAACCCAGTGTCCTATTACGTTTCGTATTAGTACATCCTGTTGGCGCTGCTCTGTGTACTACAGTTCTTTGTTTTTCTTTCTCCCTCAGGTCAGTTCCTCTGGGTGAACAGTTCAGCCTTTGGTGGCCCCTGGGTGCTGAGTCCTTGGCTGGGGGGAAGGCAGGGTCCATGCAGCCTGGACATGGCTGTGTTCCTCCACCCCAAGCAAAGTGGGCAATATACCATATGGCTCATAGAGCGGGACAAACCGCCACTTGCCCTCTTCTCCACTGACACCTTGCCGCGCATCACAGGGTAAGCACATGTTTTATACATGAATCGAGCACTAGAAGACTGAATTTCAGCTCGCACCAGGAATAAAACAGATTGATTTAAGTAAAGAGAATAAGCAACCATGAAGATGATATCCATGTCCACCCACGCCTCATGGTCATGATTATCCACCTGTAACTTCTCCCTTAGCACGTTCTACCAACTTTGTTCACAGGATTGTTCTAAGCATCATGCTCAGGTTCACTGAGCCGGAACCGTGTACGCGTGCCAGGCAAGAGCTTGATTGTGAATACCCTGTTCCCAAACCTGTGTAAATATGTTCCATTAGTGGCAGAGATAGAAAACATTCGGCAGAATCAAAGGATGGCACCCACGTTGAAAGCCTTTTTATATGGAGTAAGACAGAGCGAGTTGGCTGGGTAAAAAAGAAAGATAGTAGATGTATAAAACATGTAATTTGCTTTTGCAGTAGCTGGGCACCAATCAGCAGTTATTGCATTCATATAACCTTCCTGTGTGACTAATCCTTAATTAACAGCAGGTCTGTGCTCCTCTCATTATGGCGTTTCTTTGGAGGCTTTACAGAGATCTGTGGTTCTCACTTTGTGCGACAGAGTGACAGAGGCCAGGACAATACTCAGAAGTTCAGACACTTCTCCTCTAAATACTTTGTCGAATCATGTGTGGCCATTTTGGCATAGTTGTACTTTTGTTTTTATGTGTAGGAAGTCAGGATACAGAGCAACTGTCAGCGCGCTGCTACGGACATGTTTCATGCTGCCTGTGTGTGTAATCTCTTAAGGGCATTGGAATCATATAAACGTCATGCTTTATGCATCTCCCTTTTCTCTGTGTTTCTGTGTGGGAGTGAATGTGCGTTTGTGTGTGTGTAAACACTCAATGCTGGTGTGTCTCTTAAGGGAGCATAGCAGGGACGCGCTCGTTACATGTGTGACGGATTAGACTGTGCGTTTGTGTGCTCTCATTTGTAGTCAGAGGCTGCCGTCCACCCACACTATCTCTGCTGTTCGGAGACTTGCTCAGCCAAACTTGCACATCTGCACATTTCTCCTCTGACAGGAGGACACTCATATCATGAAAAGAGGGGCCAAAAATAAAACCAAGAAGAGCCTCCCACGGACATTGGAAGAGTCAGTGAGCTTACTAAATGTGAACCCGAGCTCTTGCCTTGTAATTGTAATTCTGTGTTTTGACATGTCTGCCCAATTCAGTAGTCAGGACATTTAGGACAGGGCCAGCCCAGAGGGGAACAAAACATCCTCGTATGCAATGGTCATTTAACAATGTCTTCCTGACTTGAAAGTAGAAAAAAAAGTTTCAAGCTTCATTTCATTCATTTTTAGTTAAAGTTATATGTATAAAATGACTCATAGGTTGAACCAGAGACTGCAGCCATGTACAAATAATAATAAAAGATCAGTTCCCAGTGGAGTAAAGTTACAAGGAAGATACTTTTTTAGCTGCACACACAATCTTACAATAGTTAACCATTCATTCTGTCTGTTGATTCTTCTAACAGTCAAGCTATTCAAGGAATTCAAAATGAATTTTGGATACCCCAGTAAATGCTTTTCCTCCTATAACTTGAACATGTTTTTGTTTGTTTCTTCACTACATTTTTAATCAAGAAGCCTCTGGTTAACTCTAATACAAGTGTCCAAGCTCCACGGGAGCCATCAGCCACTGAGGGAGCACTTGCTTTGAAACCCCTGAAAGATGCTCTGCATGCTTGCATTACTGTTGCATCACGTCTGATGGAATTGTCAAAGTACAAAAAATCTTCGAAAGTCAATTCTCAATGGCTAATGCTTCCTCCTCTACAAGTGCTTTGAAAGTTCTAGCAAAAAAAATGACCTAAAAAATTTACCTTTTCCAACCTGTGTGGGATACTGCTTTGCTCTTCTTCAACAAAAAACAAAAACAAAACATCAAACTTTAACAAGCTATCTAAGGAAGAATGTGACAATGACAATGCCAATGGTGATGCAAAAGTAATCATTCATTCATTTCAACCTTACTTTTGAAAGAACATGTCAAACTGGTTTTCTCAAGTTCTGGTATAGTTAGGAGAATCTATCTTCTCACCACGGGAGAATTTTAGATTTAGATTTATTGCCTTGTGAAAAATAAACAAAGTATTTGTGAAACTATGTCTCTCTCCTTGGTGCAGTCATTTATTCTAAATATATTGTAGTAGCATAGTAGCACATTGTGACATAGTTGCCTTTGCTGTTGCCTGCTCCTGTGATAAACCTAGTGAATACTAAAGAAACCGCAGTCTCTCTGGGTTTTTTTTGAGCAGTGTAATTATGAGAAGTGCCCTTTTTTCTCTTGAGCCCCTGCCCACCAAAATATCCCATGTACACATCCCTGCATATGATATTACCTCACACCCCATCCATTACACACATATCCACATGCACATACTGTATAGTATAATGTGCAGTATGTATATTGTATGTATGCATCTTAAAACTGATCCGTAGCTTGTGTAATGCGGGGGAAGGATGCATCAAAGGAGGCAAGTGTTAAAGCTACATTTTGACATATAGAAGGAACATTATGGCATGTGATGTATAATATGATATTAGCTGCACTGCACATCATCTTCTACATAAGCCTGCAGGTTAAAGTATTACAACTGTAGTGTATCAGTAAAAAGAAAATAATTGTCAGAACATCTAAAGCTTAAAAAGAAGTCAACTGAACATGATTTTCTGAATATCACAGCATGCTGTATAAAATCAATCTAGTCTTAAAAGTTCAAATATGTGAACCAAATAAGGCTTAACAGTAGTTGCAATCTGTATGTACGAGTATTTCATTGTAAATGTCATGGTCATGATGAAAGTTGTCCCTCACAATGGAGACTGTTGGCAGGAGACAAAAGCACAACATATTTTTATTTCCAACTGGACCAGCTGTTATCCCTGTAAGTAAAAAGGATTATTCTTGCCACTAACCTAATTATCCCATTTACAGTCAAATAAATGAAATAAAAAGCAGCCTCAATGCTGACATCATATGCGTCTGTGTATTTGCAGTAGATACACTAGACACACAAGTTGAATAATTGCTACATTACTCAGTTCGTAAAAATAAAGAAATCAATATAAACTTTGTACTGAGCTTTTAAGAATGAAGGAAGATGTTTTTAATTTTCACTAGTTCAATGGCCAATTTGTTTTAATAAACTCATGGTCATGACTACAATTTAGTGCATGGTAACACATACTGTACGGGATTCTATGGGTGCAAACCAGGTGAATTTTATTGTTTGATTATTAGAAATGTTTCTCTTTTAAATCCAACATTGCATTATGGTGCTTTTGTATTGAAAATACCCCCGGGTTAAATTGTCTGAAGTAGGCTTAGGTTGTGTCTGTTAATGGTACCAGTAGGCAGAGTAGGCAGAGTCCTTTCATTTTGAGTGTCTTGGATAAATAGGCTCTTGAAGCAATATGAATTACTTTAGTAAAGAATACATTGTTTTTGAGGATTTTTTTTTTCTCTCAAGCTAATGGGGTTTGCCTTCGCCCACTTACAACCAATGGCATCAAAACAAGTTACTAAAAAATTATATGGTATCATATCATCAATATACACTAAAGTACAATAACATGTTGTATGCAAACACTTTAAACATATAAGGTGCTTTTTACCCACAGTATAGCCTTCACACAGTAGCAATAAAATATTTCTTGTACATCTCAATTTAAACATTAATGTAATCAAATCAAATATTTAACCAAAGCTATTTGCCACTGCCAGGGCATTAACGTTCAGAGTCCAGAGCCAGGATCATAACATCATAACAGGCAGCTTCTGAGCACAAGGTTAACATATATAAACCTCAGTAGCAAGTGTCCCTGTTAGAGTGAGGTGAAGTGCTCGCCTCATGCACACGCCCTCGTTAATGTGCCCAGCCCTAGTTTAAATGCTCCTGTAATCCACAGTATCATCTAATTTAGATGTAAATCCAATTTCTATGCAATGATCCAAGTGCCATTTTATATAACCTCTGTCACAATTTTTTCCATAAAGTAAAAATTCTCCATAAATAGCCGTAAAGATTCATCTCCCCAACAGTGAGTCTCTTACAGCCATGTTCTGTGAGTCTTTCAATGAGTGAAGCTAAACTAGAGTAAGACAGATGGGTCACCTCAAGGCCCTCCCATTGGTAAAACTGGGCATTCATCCCTGGCAGGCCTTTACTGTACAACTCCTCCACTTCTTTACATAGTGCTCACCAGAGCTGACCTCCAGCTCTCAGACTGTGGTGATTTTGCTGAGGACATTTTTGGCTTTGTTGGCTTTATTGTTCTATACATAGACAATGTAAACTAAAAGATTTTATTTTATCCAATCTACAGCGATCCATTCAACCTGCACATAGGGAGCTGACTGTTGGAAGTTGACAAGCCTGGACATTTGATTATGGATCTGGTTTTTGATATGATGTGGTTTTGCAAATCAATTTTCTATCTATCTAGTTATCTATATTTTTGTAATAATGAACACTGACCAACATTGACCATTTAATTAAAATTCCACAGTGTTGATATGCTGTCACACAAAAACTCAATCCCTTGTTGTTAGTCCTCTAAATAAAATTAAGTCAAGGTCAGTGTTTTATTGTGATACATTTTTGTTCATTTAATTGAGCACTACTAATAATTAATAGTTAGCCATTTGACCTGCCAAAGCAAATAAAAGAGGAGATGTTGTGCATTGTGGGTGATTGCTCAGGCACAGTGGCTAAGAAAGTGTCTAAGGGGACACATTTGTAGTTCTTTTATACTCTGTCTTTGTCTTTCTCTGACTCCCCACTACCCTTCTTTGCTATTTTGCCCTTTGAAATGTAAATGAGACTCCTTATAGCATCGGCCACCACTGCACCACCACTGTTCCCACTGCCTTTTCCAGAGAGAGGCGGCAGCAGCATTATTTTCACTGGCTAATACATTCTCCCTCTCTAAGCCTGCAATTTTCTGCACATT